TTTTTTAAAATCCAATGTGTGGATCACATAATATTTCAAAAATTTTAACTTTTGAGTATAGATGATCTGCACTGTAACTCGTTCGGTCTCTGGATCGAGGATTAAATAATTTTTGACGAAATGGGTGTCGGCGAAATGATTGTCGATGAAATAATTTTCAAATAAATAAACGCGACCGGAAAAGAAAAAGAAAAAAGAAAGGTGATTTAAACAAGAATTGAATTTTAAATTATGATCAAGCTATTATACCAAATAAGATGTATAATTTTTTTGTACATTTTTTTATGCAATTTGTTCACCACCTTTTCTCCTTTAAATTCAACTAACTTACCTTGAAGCTTTATCACCTGATCTCTCCACTTCTTCACCGCCGCCTCCAACTTCTCTTTTTCTTTCATTAAAGATTCCATCCCCAAAATCTCTTTAAACTTCATCAAGTTCTCCTCCTTCATAAGTTCTTCTTCGCCTCATCTAATTTATTACTAGCACGTTCTACTCCTTGTTTAATTTTTTCTTCATGTGCTGCCATTTTTAAAAAATTTTTTTTTTTATTTTGATCAATTAGTGGACACATGACTTTAGGGTATTAGATATAAGTAATTAGAGATTTTTTGTTGGATGATTTTTATAAACTCAAAATTTACTATTAATTAACTAAAGAAACAAACGGTTATAACTCATCATACTGATGAGATTTTTAAATTTTGAAAAATGTTTTGAGCTTGCAGAATATGCATCCACGATGTAACAGAACCATATTTATCGATATCAATGTACTTTCATAATTTTCATCATAACTCTAGATGTCTACTATTGCAAAATTTAAAAAATCGTAATAAACAAAAAAATAGCATTTTTACATTATAGATAAGATTCTTGTTAATAAAAAACACTCTTAAGTTTCTCACTTGTTAAAATCCATTTATTATTTATTTAATTAGAAAATCGCTTTTGCATACAGAAAATAATTTTTAATTCTGAAAAAAGTTTTGAGCTCACATAACATGTCTCTACAATATAACTGTGCCATATTTTAAAAATATTTATTAACGTTGATGTATTTTCATGTTGAAATGCAACTTTTGAATAACTGTCAATATATATAAATTTAAAAATATAGGTTATAAACTACTTATATGGAGTAAATAGAATTTGAAATTCGTTTATTGTATTATTTTTTGTTGGGGCCTGCATAAATTTCAAAAAATGTCTACATATTAATTTCTACGACATATAATTTTGGTATATATACTTAAAAGGCCATCCATCCCAATGGTTCATCCATTTTGGAGTATAGTAATAGCGAATTAGGGTTCCTTAACAACATGGTATAACACCGTAATGTTCTTACATGAGTTATGTTTTTTATTATATCTACAAAGATAATAACTAGAAAAATAACGTAATAATAGTACATTTATTAGCTACAAGTATTTGGTATATATAACTAAAACTTACAAGTGATTAATCAAGTTTATTGAATTTCTTAAGCAAGCTTTCGAATCTGGCATCTTGCCCCATTCTTTAGTAAATCTTTTTTTTTTAACCAAAAATTAGGGAGAGCGGTGTCCACGTTATTCTCTTAATTTTATTTTGCCTAATAAATGAATAGACATGCTAGGTCTAGCTGATGATGGTGACGATAGTGCCACCAAATTGTTATCAATATGACATGCATATTATCTACAATAAATTTAAATTTTAAATCGTGTCATTTTTTTTTTAAACAATTTGAATTAGCAATTTCCTTTTTTTTAAGTTTGATTATGTTTTGATTATTCGGTTCTTAAATAAAAATACAGAAAAAGATGGAAATTTGAGAACAAGAAAATTTTAAATTTAAAATTTTTTTTTTATTTTTTTTTTTTAATATATATAAAAAATCTATATACATTATTTGAAATATAAAAAAA